ACCTCCGTTCGGATTCAGGGGACGCTCACGATTCAGCCTTGCTCCACGCCGCCCGCCTCGGTACCTGGCCCGGGGCTCTATCCCCTAACGGGAAGGATGCGGCCAGCGCGGCGGAGGGCAGGAGGGTCCGGAGAGGCCGCTCTGGGGCCGCAGCGGCTCTCGGGAGAAAACCTGGCCCTCCCCGGAAACGCTGAAGAAAGTGTGTAACTTCTGTGCGTTTTGATGCGATACAGCGAGCGGTGACAAGTGTGCCTGGCTTTTTTCTTCCGGATTTTTTTCCCCGATTCTTACCTTACCTGAAGCTGTCAGCGGAGTCGGTTTCACTTTCCGGTCTGGCAGGTTGCGGGAGGTCTGGTGCTCTGCCCCTCGATGCTCGTCTCCATTAGATGCTCCCGTCTCTTCAGGAAGCCTGTACTCAGAAAAATGCAGGTGTACTAGTACCTAACTCAAAGAACAGGGGAATAGGCAAACACCTGTGAACTCTGGCTATGCCTATGAAAATGCTTCCGGGGGAAGTTTTAAAACATCTGGAGCAAGCACTCTGGTCCCCTCCTGCGTGCTGTCAAATGAAAGATTGCTCCTAGCTCAGGCTTCCAGGATGCTCTTAGGTGTGTAAGGGCTAGTGCAAAGACTCTTGCGTACAGATACTGTAGCCCGGCAGCCAAAGATGTCTCTGAAGTAGCTCAGTTTTGCCGGGATAAATCAAATATGAAGCTGTGCAACTCTCTCACATTCTCTGTTTTTGCGGTCACGCTTTTACTAACAGCTCAGTATGTTTCAGCATAACTGCTGGTGACTGCTGCGTGAACATAACCTGCTGTGGAGGAAATGTTTACAGAGAATGGAGAAGGGGGAGAGGATGGGAAGGGAGGCCCACGCAGCTGAAATACTTGTGGCCTAGGTAGAATGGACTAGTTTCTTGCAGGTGTAACTTCCATATTAAGCAGCAACCGGTCTTGCCCAAATTGTAGTGTGGACTCAACATGTCTGAATGTACTTGTGAGTGTACTGTAGAGAAGGTATGAAACAGAACATAGTTTATTCAAAACTTTGGAAAGCTGTACTGACTCAGATGCTCTACAAGTTGCTAGTACCCTCTTCCTGTCAAGGAGTCATAAAATTTCCTACTGCAGTTGGGATGTAATAGGGGGCTTCTTAGCCTTTACTGTATCATTAAATTGACTTTATTTCTCTAAGACCTTTGTGTGTGAATACTCAGTTTCAGTAAGATGAGGAGACGTGGTAGAAGTATACCTGCTAACAGTTCAATGAAAAAGACTCGTCTTTCAGTGGCAAGGTCACTTTAAGAGTTAGTCTTATACTGCTGGAAGAAAAAACAACCCAACATTCAGATGAATGTGAATGCTGGGCACAATCCCACTTTGTCTACACTGGATTTTCAGTGAGCTGTCTGTCAACATAGAGTGGCAGACTCCTATTTATTGAGTAGTTGAGGAGTAACATGCAAATTCAGTAATGAAAGATGCTGCCCTATTAGGAGGATGGTCACACCACTTAAAAGGCTACACACTTGCCATTTGTAAAGCTTCAAAGAAGCACAAAATTGTTCTGTAGATTTGCTGAATTATATGAACTATTACAAATTGGTAGCTAAAGTGAACTGAAAAAAAAACTTTATTCCTGGCATTGTAGAAGCTTTTTTGAACTTTGTAACTGACCACTATAATGTAAGTCCCTTGGGACTACTTGGTTTTGCTGCTAAGCAAAATAGAAGGTTTTGTAGCTGGTGTGTAGAGCTTGCAAACCAGGTTTGCAGAGCTTATAGACAATTGTGGTACATTGTCGTCAACTGTTAAGATGGTATTAAGTTAAAAAGTTATTGATGATGACTGTCTCATGGGCTGAGACAAAGTCTGTACTAAACAACAATCTCTCTGAAAGTAGAGCAGTCACTATTTTAATCTTACTGCTAGACTTCATAGTAAGCCTCTAAGTGCCCAGAACCCTCACTCTCAATCCTGATCTAACCTAGTTAACAAACTCCTGTAAAGAAAATAAATCACAGTTGCTAAAATAAATTTGAATGTGAAAATCTACTCTTGAAATTCTTAGGAAGAAACTGTTTTGTTGATGGTGTCAAAAATGGTTTGGTAGACAAGAGCACACTTCTTTATAAAGTGCTGTAGCTTGGAAAGGAGTACTGCATGATGATAGTTAACAGTGAACTGAAGAAGTTTAGAAGTTACTTGTTTGCTTTTGTCAGTCCACCTTGGCAGTTTAAAACAACATGACAATTGAAAGAACGCAACCTTGTATTATATGGCCTCAATAAGCAGTATATGGCAAAGTGATCCATTTTAATCTATTTTTAAGATACAGCTGGAGCAGAAAATTATAGTAACAATCCAACCTTACCTCTCTCTGCTTGAAGACCAAAAACTGTTGCTGCAAGTCTTAAACTGCTTATCATATTACTGGTTACTTCCCATTTAAATCTTGCATTCTTGTGAGAGAGCTGCAGCCATGGGTTGTAGAACAACTCATCTGCAAAATCCCAAGCTAGCAAAACTTAATACTGTTGTCCAAGATCTAATTCAATGCTTACTTTTATTTGAAATGAAATGGAAGTATTGTGCTGCCCTAGCTTCAGGGTTCAGAGCTGAACCTAGAGTAACTCTACTGTTACTAACTTTAGACCAAATGCAAGCTCACTGACTCCCAATACTTTTAGCTTAAAAATAGTATATTAATGGCCAAAATAAGGCTCTTTAGACCTTTTGGATTGTCTCTGACATTTGGTGTGACTTATTTAACCTGTGGGCAAACTGGAACTGGTTTTCTCTTGCACCAGTCTTGATTTTGTTTTTTTTACTGCATTTTGCCATGTGTCAAGTTACTAATAGCAAATATAGCTATGTGAGTATAATCTGCTTCATTCAGCCATGTAGGTAGGCCCAATGTGCAGAGTTAAAGAGCACATCTTAGAGGTCTCACAGCATGATTACCTAACAATACTAGGTTTCTAGTGTATCTGTGTCAGAATGAAGTAGTGGATCATGCTAACTTGACCAAGTTCATTTCTTCCAGACCAGTCTTTTGTGACTCTAGCCACAAATGACTCCTATGTGAAAGGAGCACTCGTACTTGGTTCATCCTTGCAACAGTACAGAACAACAAGGAAGCTGACTGCACTCATAACTCCTCAGGTCTCAGATCTTATGAGGTAAGGTCACTTACATACTTCAAACTGCCACAGTGCCTGCTGATCTGAAGGTTGAAAAACAGAAGTTGAATTCCTTAATAATAACCTTCCAAAACTCTGGAAGCTTAACAGCTAAGCTTAGCAGAATTCAACTTATACTACCTGGAATTCTGTAGGTTCTTCAAACGTGAAACTTTTTTTTCTTTCTTCTATATAAGTTAACAAACACTCTGTAGTTAGAGCACTAAACTGTGACTTAATACTGATATTTCAACTGGACCTTTGCTCTTTCATAGTCCTACTTAGAACTGTCCAATAATATGATATTGCCTGTGTGTTCATTAGTGCTGTGTATATGCATGTGAAGGTGGGAGTAGGGGATTGGTATTTATTTGTCTTGCAGAAGCATTCCAGATTGAGATAATGTAACACAAGCTCTCTTGAAATCTAGCAGACACTTCAAATTTTATCATGAGAGAAGAAAATGAGCAGAACTAAAGTAGCACCAAGTACGTCAAATCAGCAGATCAAGAGGCATCTAAAAGGTCACCACAGTACAACAAAGGAAATTAACAGGCAACTGCTTCCTACAGCCTCTCTAGAATAGTCTCAGTATGGAGTGGACTGGGTGTTCTTTCCACATGTAAGAGGAGGGTAAAAAAACAATTAACAAACAGCTACATGAACTACAGGTGGTAGGTCAAGATTCTGTACATGGGGAAGTTCTTCTGAAATGATCTCTCAATTTATAGAGATAGTAGAGAAGTGGCTCAGTAAATGGAATGACTCTCCCTGGAGTCTCTTGGCAGCTAAACAGCCTCATCAATATAAAGATGTTACATATAGGAATATCCATTCTAGCCTATTAGGTGAGTGTGCTCTTTTAAGATGAATCATAAATGTGCTTATGTGCTAGTGTAAGCCAGCTAGTACTATGCCCTTAGACCAGCGATACCTACCTAGTGGTGTAGTTGGCACTTGCATTTCTCACTCTGTATCTGCTAACAAGGTATGCCTTAAGTTCGGAAGCAATTGTCCATGCCAAACTGTCAGTATAAAGACAAACTCATTTACAAGCTCCGTGGCTCAAATTGTGCTGATAATTGCTGAGCATTCAAGATACACTGTAGAATAGTGAGACTTTACAGATGCTTCATATTTTAAGCAGCATGAACTCATTAACCTCTGTTGAACTAATGGTAATGCTTTACTGATGGTAAAGCAAAGGTTGGGTATCTGCCACAAAATTTCACTACACTGTCTGACAGTTTAAGTGTCACCCTTAGGTGAACATGATACTGGATCAAAACACTGCTGTACCCACAGCTGTGATTAAGTGACTATGGGATAAAGAAAGTTTTAGCGACTGGGTCTAGTCAGATGTCCCTAACAGTCACAAATCCAGAACAGTGTTGTCATAACTATTGCATAAACTTCTGTTTCAACTGTTTAGGATTCAGCTACTGTCCTGCTCAAGCTACTCTAACAGCTTCCCATTTCTTAATTGCCTGCTCAAAGTAGACTGTTAACTTGCCAAAAATCAGAGTCTGGCTGAAAAAAGCTGTGTGGAAATTTTGTACTACATATCCGTGACCTACTGGACTTGGTAGCAATGCCAACTAAAGCCCTGTTTGTGGAAGAAAAAAAAAACAAACTACTTTGTTCCCCAAAATGTGCCCATTACAAACTAGAAACCTTGAGGCAGATGCGTATACTTGTGCATTCCAGCACATGCACTCAACTCTTACTGATGGCATAAGAAATGCTGCCAGGTTCCCTGTTATTCCACTTCTCTTTATGGAATCTGTCATGTGGTCTGGTGCTGGAATAAC